ATTGTTGGATGTGGATGGACCTGTAGTCAGTTTTATGCATCACCAACATAGAACCAAAATAATAAATGTATCATCAGGTATGTAGACTTTTCTGCTTGTCACTGCATTTTGTTCAATTAAACTCGGGCCTATTTTTTGCATATCTTGCACTGCACTGCAACTGCCAGCTAAATTTCATTATTTTATGGAGCTGATTGTATTTTCGCTTTCATTTTATTTTACTCTTAAAATAACCCAGCCCTGCCAGTTAGGATGTCTTTTATGTTGGCTCGCATCTCTTTCATCTCGCTGAAAAAGCCTTTGATGTCTCGGGGAAAGCTCGCTTTGAAGAACACAAATAAACCTGCCTTGTATTTTCTTCATAAAAATATGCGTTTCTGTATGTAACAGTCATGCTGCGGACGAGCACAAGAATGATCAAAGTTGTCTTATCAGCAGAGCATCTGATGCAGAAAACCGGTTTCATTTCTCTCCGTGAAGCGAGCATGAGGTGCTGCAAGTAGATGAAACTTGGAGCAAATCTCATCTATTAGTCATGAGGTTTAGGGAGTGTGTATCTGCAGAGCTCTGTGCATGCCCATGAGTGACTGTGCAGTGCTGCATTACTCCACATGTGCCCCTCTTTGCCTGCCTCCCTTTTCTCTGGATACTCTTGGCTTTGCCCAATGTGTTGAGTCACAAGGTAGGAAGGAGCGTCACCTCCCTCGCTCCTGGAGCTGCCACGCTTTCAACTCGCTTTTCGCTTTGAAGATGAAAGTCGGAGCTGATCACATTCATTTGTCCCATAAAATTATATCCTTCCCCCTCAAACGTATGGGGGTGGAGTAATTTTTAGTGCCGGTCAGAGAGTCATGTGGCTTTAAAGTTTCTTACTTTCAATAATGCTGACTTTAAACTCTGGTAAAATTTTCAGAATGATGTCAGGAGTCCAAGAACCCACTTGGGAAAAGAAAAAGAAGCAGTACTTTTCAATTGCACACCGATCAACCACAAAATTAAAACAACTGACAAGTGAAGCGAATGACATTAATCTTCTCATTGCAATGCAAAGGTCTGCCACTGCTGGGAAAGCTTGCGTCCTTGCCCAAACCTTGCTCCATAATGGCAATGACACTCCCCCACAGCTGCAGTCCAAACTGCTCAAGACATCGATGGAGACCTACCGAGAAGTTCATATCTTCTATAATCAAATCTTATAATTAATTTTTTAGATAGGTTAATAAAAATACTGAAGTCCTGAATGTCATAGGCATTTTTTTTTTCTTTTCTTACAGTCGTGTTTACAAATTGATTACAGGCTAGGCAGACAAACTACCCCTACCCTACATTCATCCTCCTAAACTTCTCCCTCCCTCTTCCTTCATTTTACCCCATCCCTAGCATCCTCCTCAGTCACACCAACTCTCTGCATGTCCTCCTTAACTACATCCACAAACCTCCTCTGTGACCTTCCTCTTTTCCTCTTGCCTGGCAGCTCCATAATAAGCATCCTTGGTCCAGTATCCACTGTCCCTCCTCACCTTGCCTCTCTAGCTTTGCCTCCAAATTGCTCAACCTGAGCTTTCCCTCTGATGGGCTCATTTTAATCTCGTCCATTCGGATCTCTCCCAAAGAAAATCTGAGCGTCTTTAGCTCGGCCACGTCCAGCAACACCTCGTCTCTTTCTGTCAGTGTCACCGTCTTCAAACCAAACAGCACAACAGCTCTCACTACCATCTTTAATATGTTCCCTTACTGCTCTCCTTCTTTCACAAATCATCCCTGACACTCATCTCCACCCACTACAACCCGCCCGCACTCTCTTCTTCACCTGTCTGTTACTTTGGGTAGCTGACCCCAGGTATTTAAACTCAACCTGTCCATCAAAGAAGAAGGGACTCAGAGTCAATCCTTGTTGTATTCTTGCTCCCAACTTGAACCCATCTGTCACTCCTGCCGTGCAACTCATCATTATCTCTCTGTCCTCACATTTGTCCTGCACCACCCTCACACACTTCTCCGCCACTCCTGACCTCCCCATGCAATACCATAGTTCCTCTCTCGGGATGTTATCATCTGTTTCCTCTAGATCCACAAAGACACGGCAGAACTCTTCGATACTTCTGCATCAACACTCTCAAATCAAACATCACATCAGTAGTTCTTTTTCTCTGCATGAAGCCATACTGCTGCTCACTGATCGTCACCTCTCTGCTAGCCTAACCTAACTTCAGCAGCTCTTTCCCTCATCTTCATTTTTTTCTTTCTTGAAACATTGAAATCAGAAGAATCAAACTTAAGTAAAGTTGTGTGTAAGTGGGACTGCAAGCGGGCTTTTGTCCACCAAGACCTTCAAGGTCATCTTCATGATTTATTAGTCAAAAAGTGACACATGCACACCAAACTTCTTAAAGTACCTTTAAAAAGAACAAAGAAAAGGAATATATACAAAACACAGCACTATTCAATTAAAAGTGAATATTCCAGAGAGCGCTTCCTTATAATGCAACAACAGGCGCTGCTTTAAGAAAAACCATCCTTTCAAACTTATTTCATATTTTAAAGAACTTAAATTCACAAGCACTGATGTGACTGCGCATCACACAGTTGAAACGTTTCTTAAACAGCTGTCCGCAGTATATGAACATCATGATGATGAGGGCTGCACACACACACACACACACACACGCAGAGTTGCGTAATGCAATGCGATTGTGCCGGTGGCAGTTATCAGCTGGTTGGCGCACAGATCAGCTGCTGCGCGCCGAGCTCTGGGTCTGATCTGCCTGACATCAGATAAACACAACGTCAGCGCTCACGTGTACAGTGAGAGTGGGAGCTTATGCTGCCGGGGAGAGAGAAGTCCTCTCACATGCTGGCAGATGAGAGTCGGGCACTGATGTTCCCCTGTTTGTCTGAGAGGCTGCGTTAAAAATAACTGATGGACAAAAAATGTTTCCCCATGTGGATATGCATAATTGTTTTTAAAAAAACAAACAAAAAAACCCATGCAAGTTTATTATATGCACACTTTCATCTACACCTTGGTCCAGTTACAGTTAAAAGACATCTACAGCAGCTGGCTTGTTATCCCCAGAGCTGATAAAGGTATGGGAACAGTAAACAGATGTTCATCATTAGCAGAGGGAAAAAAAAAGAGGGAATCCCTTCTTCAACTTGGCGACCAAGTAGCGCCCCCGGTAATTTAAACATCTGCCTCAATGAAAAGCCGACAGGGAATTGCACAGTGCTGTGGTTGGTTATTGCTAGATAATGAGGTAAATGAGAGAGCTTCAAATTTTTCTTTTTTCATTTGGAAAGATGCCAGTGCAAAAGTGTGTCATTTCAAAGGACGGTTGTTAAAAGTTTTTATGGGTAGGGTCATAAATCTAATAATTAAATGAAGGTAAAACTATCTGAAACCTTCTTTTGTGGTTCCATGTTGGTCCCAGAGTGGTTGGGCACAATCGCTGCCACATCAGTCATTTGTGAAACCTCATTGAAGCCTCGTTGGTACCATTTCGGCTGCTGCTGTGTTAATTTCTTAAGCGACCATCATCAGACTAATAACAAACTGGACCAAAACTGGATCACAGATTTCACAGGTGGTTTGTAAGTAGCACTAAGACAATCCCACAAAAACACCACAAACATCATGTGGAGGTTCACTTTAGTTACTTGATTGAAGGAGGTGAGTCCTGGTGATCACTTCTCAGCTACAGCCAGCATTCACTAGCCAGTCAGTCACATCTCTTCTTTAAGCCTTAAGTTTAAATTGGTGGTTTATACTTTTTCCTACCCTGGCCTTATTGATATGAAGGGGTAAATTAGCTTTAGAGAACAGGTTTTTGTCCCAGGCTAAAAACATGTATTTTAAGCTGCAAAATTTGGCATTTTAACATGTTTGTCTATGCAGGTTTACTTGATGTTGGATCAAGGATTAAGTGGCAATTCAAGGAAATCCATTCTGGCTTCATGTCTTGTTTGCCTGTAGATGGGTTCTGAATCCGGCACTATCACTGTGATGTATGTGGGAAACAGTTACCTGCTTGTTTTGGAGACAATTTAGAAAAAGTAAGCCAACAAAGAAGTGCCAAACACTACAGCCACTACAGGCTGCCTCCAAAAGTGAGTCACTCCCCTTACACCCCAGTGTTAAAATGCCAAACTTTAAGGAGTCGTACACTCGAAGCAGTAAGCAGTGACCATGAAAACTCAGTGACATTCAGCAACGACAAGGGAAATAACTGGCAAAGCAAACTGGGCGGGTCAAACTTTTCTGAAATTTGAGGTGAGCAATTGAAACGACTGCCAATGAGGGTGAAGAATATAAACAACTGCAAATAAATTGCCATCCTGTAGCACCTATGTCACTATTTGTGGAGGAATTTCTGTTTAATGTGAATTTCTGAGTATAGAGCCTGTGATTTATCACAGTTAATTGCTATAAAATCACAAACAGACTGCATGTAATTGTCAGCCTGTACCGATTCAATTGCAAACTGCTAGCAGGCATGTTTCAGTCTCAATGACATTTCAAAGGAACCATTTTGAATGCAGCAGATTGTGAGTTCATTGTACATGGATGCAATAATTATTGGTTGTGTTGTGGTCTCCAACCACTCTTGTCCCTAGTGTATCTGTAGCATAAACAAAGATAAAAACTAAAACCTTGACACTTCAAAATTGTAGAGTACAAAACCAGTGGGAGATGTCACAGTAGATATGTCCATTGCTGCAGCTCAAGCTCACAAGCTAAAGCTCCCGCAGTTTTGAGATCAGTGTCTTAAAATTCAGATTTGATCAAATGTGGCCCCTTGGTTTGGTCTACAAACTACATTTTTCACTTATCAACAGGAACAAAAGGTTAATTCTCTTTCTAAGGCAGATAAGCTGAACACAAACAGCTGTGATTTTGCCCTTATTATGACTCCAGAATGCTTTTGTTCCCTGGATCTGGCCTCACCTCAAAGTTTCTTTGAGTTTGATCGACTTTAACGGGAAGAAACGAGAGGAAGACGTTTTCACCGTTTAAAAGTTCTTTAATTGTTCAGTTGGTATAGGATTTGGAAGCATTGAGTCAAGACATGGTCAGCAGCCATACAAAACGAAACCAACTAATTAACATCGACTTGAGAGGGGGAAAAAAAACAAAACAAAGGCAACACACATACATTAAAAAAGAAGACAATTTAGCCATCGTCAGGTGATCACAGTAAAAAGACGCACAGTCCTAGTCTCAACTCAACAGCATGCTGAAAGTTCAATGATTCGCACAAACTGACATTCACTCACAACTCGAATAAAAGGCTGCAGAACAACCCTGATAGGCAAAAAAGTACAGTAAGACACCTCAGAGAGAACAAAACAAAGAAAACAAATCAATGCATAGACAACAAAAAAAAAAGTTTCAAAATAAAAGTCAACCTAAAGACAAATTTCTTGTGTTGGCCTTTTACATTGCGATGATTGAGGACATTCAAATAGAAGTTATTGCCAACAGGATATAACACTTGGATAACACTTACCCATAAAAAAGAGATCATCTTTTTAGTTGTTGTTGGTTTTTCTTTCTCCAGAAACATTTTTAAAAGAGCTAGTAGCTTCCACAAACATCAAGAATGTACAAACAATGGTCATTGTGGCAAGGCTTTGAAGATCCTCGGCTGAATGAACATTAAAAGCCACGAGGCAGACATGCTCGGCGTCGAAACATTACAGTTATTTTAAGTTATACAAGTTAACAAACTGTACTTAAACACATTTAATACTGAGCAGTTCACTAGAAAATAAAAGCATGTCCGGTGTTATCCGCTTAGCTATTCCAGTCGTGTCAATTAACAAGATTTATTTTATTTTATTTTTTAAACACTGACAGGATAAAAACGTGTTTACAAAGTTTTTTTTGTTCTCAAATCCACTGAACCAAACAGACTCTCTGTGCTAAATATCAAAATGTATTTTTTTTGCAAATATCCCACTGATAATAGTGCAATAGATACAGTACAGTCAGAAACATACTCCCGAGGATTTAGAAACGCACCGCTTTGCGTTACCTTTCTGAAAGTCGGCTGAAGCAAAAGGAAGCGGAAAGGTTTTTAAATTCTCAGAGTATCGCACGCACTCCTCGTGTTTGGCGCCATGTCTTTAGTTACAGGTAGTTAAAAATTAGAGTTTGTGACTTTAGTGTGAGCAAAGAGCCACTGATGGTTGATGACGTTACAGAGCGACTCGTGGTTCTCCCACCTTTAATGGTGTGTTTGAAGAGCCGGTTGTCGACTCAGTAAGCAATAAATTACAACTACAGCCTGTTTCCTTCCTAACTCTCAATTTCATCTTACAACTTAAAAAATAAAGAAATAAAAAAGTCAAACAATTGGCACACTTAATTCATGTTTCCTATTTCCCAACTATCTGTACAATTAAAAAAAATTTTTTTTACATGTCACGTCTGGGGTGAACGTGCACACTTGTGTTTCATGATTGATGTGATTACGTCTGGTAGTGTTTTTAACTCTTCCCTCTCTCTTTTACAGCCTGCGGGTCGAAAACTAAGCGTCAGAAAGAACAAGCGGGGCCTCATTTATAAACCGATCCATGGATTTCACAAAGAAATAAAAGAAAAAGAGAAATGTGTCGATTTTCATTTACATAGACCCCGCTGGTCATGCCGTGAGCCTGCTAACCCATGTAGTCAAAGATGAATGATTAATGACGGGCCTGCTGAGAGTGTTACTACACACATCAATCAGCTGATCGTACTAGTATTCATGCAAGCCACACAGAAAATTCCAGAGATCTCAAGTCATACTTGTTTTTGAAAACATTCTGGGTTAATCTGATGAAGGAGAGCAGAGGTGGGTTAGATATCACTGTGGCTTACTTCTTTTAGCTGATGACATTTCCGTGTGGAGTATTAAGGGGCGAATTTAAAAATCCGCACCTCCAAATCTGGCGTGGTTGTCTGGCAGAAAAGGATGGGGTGCCAACTCTGGGATGGAAATGAGTTGATGTGTCTAGTGGAAGAGTTTCCAAAGGAAGGGAAGAAGGTAGCGGGAGATTAACACACGGGCTGGCGTGGTCTACACTGAATCTATGTTCCCAACTTCATGCACAGTTTTGGGTCATGAATGAGCCCACAGATACAAGCGGCTAAAACGAGCTTCCTGAGAAAGACGAGCAGAGTAACAGATAGCCTGAGGAGCTCAATCGCCCGGGAGGAGTTCACAGTAACCCTGCTATCACCTCCATCTAAAACTAGCTAGCTGAGGTGGTCCAGAGCACTTGGTTTCCTATAGGTGAGATGTTACGGGCATGTCCAGCTAGAAGAGATAACATCATCTCCGCTGGCTCGGCAAAGCCTCAGTGTCCCTGTAGGAGAGTTGGAGGCAGCTGCTATGGGGGAGGGAGGTTTGAGCATCTAAGCACAGAGTGCCTTCCCTTTGAGCTGGACGTGGATAAGTGGCAGAATGGATGGATGTTTACCAAATTACACGGAAACTCCACTAATGGGAATGTTTACGTCTCCGCAGAACTACAAAATAATATATGTCTTTTTTTGTCCTATTGATGGGGTTCAACGCATTTTACTTTATTTCCAGAATGCAGGGTCGAGTTAACATCTGTATCTGTAGGGGAGAGCATTTTGCATTTTTCATGTTTATAAATGAGGCCCCTGGTGGAAAGCAAACAAAAGCCTTTATAACACAACAGCTAAACCAAAAACAACTTCAGCCCAGCGGGGTAAGCAGAAATAATCAAAATCTCTCCTCTAACACTCATCAATCATCGCTCTCGCTGCTTGACCAAAACTATAATTCTCTTTGCTTCGGTCAGCCCGCTGGTCAATTCTACCAGCAACAGCAGATACAACATGTAACACTGCTAAAAAAAAGAAGAAGTCCCAATACAAACAGAACGATACACATCCAAACCCTCCTAAAAAAACAAAAAACCCAATGATAATCATCCACACGATCTGAGTGTTTTCACTGACTGCCTTGGTGCCAAAGCTTCAGCCCGCAGTGACCCACACTTGAGTGCATCTCAGGTAATGGTGCGCCGACTTGTACGAGGAGGAGTCGAGGGGTGGAAAAGGCCGGGTGGAGGGTGAGGCAGCCCCCGCCCCGTCTCTTCCCATCCTCTTCTGTCCCTCTCAGGCATCCTCCCTTCACCTCCTCTCCTGAGCTCAGCAGGGGTCGTGTTTGTGGAGATTAAAGGTGGTGTGGATCACGTGCAGGGAGGGATTGGGGGTGAGGTGGGTGGGACGAGGGGCGCGGGAGCCAGGGTCACTGTCGTCGATCCTCCGTCTCTGACCGTGAGAACGCCATCACCACATCCTCTGCACCTGAGAATCAACGTGAGACACAAATACAGACTTTTAATGTGACATGCTTTTTATCTAACACCAGCATCGATCGATAAAGTACGATAGAAAGGATAAAAAAGAAATAAAAAAAACACTACTTGGGCTACTTGTGCGCTTACATTTGACTTATGCCGTGTCTCTACTGTTGCACTGTAACACTGCTGCTGCTGGGCCCTTGTGGCAATAGATACACACTTTGAATGAAGTAGTATGTCATCAGTGACAACAGCACATTGGAAAAGGATGGAAAATGCCCTTCATTTTGTTCGCACTAATAAATGCTGCCGCCTGCACAAGCTGCAAGCATCGATAAAAAGCTATTTAGAGTTTCTTTTTCAGACTGTCAGAAATAATCGTAAATTTCCTTTATTCCGGGACATCGTTTTGAGGCTATATTTCCCACCTCTAGTAGCCACCCGGACAGGACATGATGGAAAACCAAAAAAGGTAAGGATTTTATTATCAACTGGGAAGGAAACTTTACGTCCAGCTTCAGAAGATAAGCTGTTAAAAGAAACTATTTACTTTTCTGACTAACAGGAAACGTGTTGTTGCCTTTTCTTAGAGTCGGTCTAAATATTGGACTAGGCACAGAAGCAGTAAGTGCAAACACAACCATACAGAAATACTAAGGAACTTTTGCGCCAGTCATGAAAGATTTGAGAAGAGGCCTCGGGCAGAGACTTATGAAAGTTACCTGATGCATTTACAACAAAGTCAAGTCTGCGAAACATTTGTTGGGCTGCATGCACAAAAAACAAGGCCGCTCTCTGCCGTGAGGGATCAAATTGCATTCTTCTAGCTACATGCATCTATCCCGGTTAGGGCTGCCACAAACGATTATTTTGATAGTCGACTAGTCACCGATTATTTTTGCGATTAGTCGACTAATCATATCATCATCCATTGGAGGTACAGCGTACAGCTTATTGCACCAGCAGCATCTGGTCTTATATAACTATCATTAGCTTACAGCTTGAAGTGTTTGTGCTAACTAAAAATAAAGACAAGATGGTAGTTTATTAATTTTTAATGAAATTTGCAGATTGTTTCGGTGAAGTTTAATAAACTCCTTGCTTTCTAAAATATAACAGGACACCGGAGTATATTCTCCAGCTTCTGATAATCAGCTGTCTGCTTGACAGTTTTAGCTGTGCAAAAACTATAACTTTAATCTCAGCCAAACCGATTTACTCAGGAACAAATAAAATACTAAAGAAAGCCAAACAATAACATTTTTAAGTTATCTAAGTGACTTATATATATGTTTAACCTGACTAGCGAAAGACGGCGGTGGGTTTGAAAACGATTTGCCGGGAGTCCGGTGTTCTCACGGCTCTAGTTAGCCTTGCCCCCGCCTAGCTAACGAGCTAGTGGGTAACAGACGTCTCCGAAAACGTCGGAGCGCTTTTGAAAATACGTGGTGTCTTGATAAACTGAGCAGATATTTGAGGTTTACACAGCTACATTCTCGCCTGAAAATATGTTAAAGGTTTATTTTGTGACCCAGAAAGAATAATAAGAGTAAAGTTAAAACTAACTAGCTGCCGCCATTGTTGACAGCTGCGCTATGAATTCTGGGACACAGCTTCTTCTTCTTCGGGGTTTAATGGCAGCTGGCATCCTTGTACATGCAGTGCTGCCATCTTCTGTTTCAGTCCGTTATTACACTCTTAAATCCTACTACTCATTCCTGCGTCCTTTGTGATCTTACAAAGCTTCAAACGATGCGTCGACTATTAAATTAGTCGTCGACGATTTTAATAGTCGACATAATCGTGACTAGTCGACTAATCGTGGCAGCCCTAATCCCGGTCAGTCTTCCACATGTTTTGTGCTATCGGAAAACCCAAAACACGTTTGAGTTCAAAGTGTGAAGCCAGACAAGTTTTCCACAGGTCCTAGGATCCCGTCGGTATCCTGTAAATCCTGTCAGCTGTGACTATAAAGCCGAAGGGGAATACCCTGCTGTGAAAATCCTTTTGGTGCATGCAGGTAATTTCGTGTATCGCCATATATGTATCACCTACTGTGGGAACCCACCCTCCTCAATCTGAAATCACAGCACTCTGACTGGAGATACTGCAACACCCTGAGTGGCTCACTGACCTCCTACATCCTGCTCTGCAATGATAACACTTAAATCTGAGGCTTCAGCACCAGTCAGTGTCCTCTGCTGTAGTACAAGTGTGTCTGCCAGTAAACTGTGTGAGAATCCAGCAGATTTCCAATTCGTGGAAAAAACTATCAGTGTTTACCATTTCCTTTATTCTTTCTGTGCTCGTTTCATTTTGCCACCTTAATGAGGACCAACCGATAATTACAGCCTCATTTGTGTTGAGTCAACTAATGAATCCTGCCAGCTACACAAAAAGGACTTTCTCAGCTGGCTTCTGCTTAACAAGAAATCATTCATTAGTCTGCTGCCAACTGTGATTTGTCAAGTGATTTGGACACACACCCACTGAGTGTGTTTTTTTACTCTCATAAGTGGATATACATTTTCCACTTCTGTTCACATAACATTAAATAAAATATACAAAGGTAATTCAGTGCCTCATATATTCAGCTGTTCTCTCATATTAAGCACTCCGGCATTCAGAGTTTAAACAAAGAAGAAAATATCTAGTTGTCAAAAAGGAAGTACTCTCCCTCTTTTAATTTTAAGGTTTTACATACAGGACAACACAACTTCTTCACATCATTGCTTCAGTTCATTGATGTGTGTTTGCATTCATTCATGCACAGCTCTCTTAAGGTCCCCCCCACAGCATTTCAATCAGGCTGAGGTCAGGACTTTGACTGCAAGATGTTAATTCTTTTCTTTTTCAGTTATTCTTACAGATGTTTTGCTTTGCTCGATTCATTGTCCTGCTGCAGGAGGCAGTGTGGGCTTCAGCTGTCAGACAGCCTCACATTTGACTCTAAATACTTATACAGGCTGCAAAACAAGCGCAAATCATCATCCCCACCACTGCGGTGACAGTTGGTTTGACTTGTTTGTGCTGAAATGATGCGGGCAAATGGTTTTCTGCAAATGTGTTACTGTGTGTTATAACCAAACGTCTCCACTTTGGTCTTGCAACTCTGAAGGTTATTGTTCTCAATGTGCAACTTTGCAAACCCAAGAGAAGCGGTTTTCTCCTGACAAAGCTTCCAGACAAGCTATATTTACATTTAACATGCTAACTCAGGCCTGCAGAAGCTGAGATGAAACTTTATTTATTTTGTTGTTTTGTTTTTCTGACCTTGGGGTGAATTTGCTGGGATGCACACTGGCAATGGCCTCCTAACCCTCCCCAGATTGTTGGACCAGCAACTATTGCTTCTCTAAGATCACGACAGATGGCTTTCCTCCTTGGCATCATGCTAACACACACCTGAATGCTGCAGAAACAGCAAACTTCCAAACCCTCTGCTACTTCTCGAGGTGCAGATACCTGTTTATTCTTATTAGATTTTGTGTTTTTTAAGACGCTGTCTTTTCTTTGTCACATGACTATCAAGTACTTTTGCACCACTGCATAACTGTTGCTGGATAGGATGTCAATGGGCATTTCCTCCACCAGCTCTTCAAGTCAGAGTGATGCCGGAGAGGCTGATTTGCACCCATGTGATAATACAGTGGCTTAGCTAAATCACAACGAGTGACTGGGGGTCATGTGTCCTCCCTTATGCAAGCTCTAAGCAGGCAGCACCCTCATCTAAGATAAATAGAGTATTTCAAGTCTACTGTTGCGTGTTACATGTGAAAAAGCCTAGCGGAAGATAATGTCCCAACCTGATTCATTTGAGAATGACGTGGGAGACCCCATTAATGTCTCCCAAAACCTTAAATTAAAAAAACTACCTCAACGATGAGAGGAGAAAAACGATAGCAAGGCGCAATAGTCTACATCCACAGTACGCATGAGCATGTGATGACATAAAAACCATCTAATAAGCAACATCTAAGAAATCTCATTAACACCGAGCTCCACACCTTTTCAAATGGTTAAGAAGAATCTCTATCAGCACCTCGTGTGTGCCTGCTATAAAAAGCCTTTCTTCTCTTCAGCCCTGAAGTGCGTGTTAGATTTAATTATTATGGAGATATGAAAGTAGGCCAGGGACTGTGAGCCTTCACATGTATTTGGCACAAAGGGCGGACCCTCCTCATCAGACGGCACAGACCCTCCAAAAAAGCAAAATTTTGTTTTTAATTTGCTATCGCTCTGGGAAAATAATTTGCATCTTTCTATAGCGCATTCAGGTCATCCTGGAGCTTGATGAGATCAAGATTTTTTTGAGGGGGGCGGAGGGTTAATGTGATCTTTCAAGCTCCCCCTCCCATGGGAGCTCCCTGGCTTACCCAAAAGAGACTACCGTACAAGAAAGAAAAAAACAGTATCAGAAACATGGTGCTTGACTTCAGCTCATAACACAAACCTCATCTGCTCTGAGACACCACGTGGGGATAAATGGTGCTTGAAAAAGAGACAATTATGTAATACCACACAATAGGAGAGTCGACCTGAATTACACCTCTGCTGAATAGCACGGATCATGTTTTGGTGCAGCAGCGTGTAATAACAGCCATTCATCAGAATAAACGCCTGCCTGAATTATTTTGTGTGATGGGAGTTCGTTATTGTGTAGCGGGCGGTTCACGCTCTGAGCAACTTGGGCAGAATAAAGCAGCCGATAGTTTCTCCAAATACTTCCACAGATGGATGGAAGGGCTTTATCTGAGCACTTTGCCCTGCCACACACACACACACACACACACACACACACGCACACGCACACGCACACACACACACACACACACACACACACACGCACGCACGCACACGCACACACTCTCGCCAACAAAATGGAAACGTCAGGTCCCTCAACACTGTTGCCTAGCGACAGATAAAAATCACGACTGCATCACTCCCGTTGCGGCCTATGAGCAAAAAGCTTTCGGTCTGTTTCGTTGCAGCTCTGCGTCCAAC